GTGGTGGAAGGGATCAAGGGGGCGGAACGGGACATCTGTAATATTTTGAACAATAAAGAAATTTTAAAAAGTAATAAAACAAAATAAGTGTCAGGAAACTAAAGCAGCTTCTTTAGAGGAGACTTGGGGAGGGGATTTAATAGGAAAATAGACCTAACTACAGACAGGAGCCATCCGAGTGAGCCACCTTCCCTTCCAGGAAGAACAGTTTATACTGAGATTATTGTTTTTAAAAAAACACTGTATCTCTCTGATACAGTTACCTCAGTAGAGTCGCCATACACTGAAACAAAGTATCCTATGGCATTTAAACGTTTGTAAGGGGCAATCTTTTCCTATTCGTTCTGTTCCATCCTTCAAGTCATTTCTCCAGTCTTTTCAGTAATTTTTTCTAATGCTACTAATTAGCGTGATAATGTGGGGCTGTTACCTGCATCTGCTGCAGTCTTCCAGCTGTTTACAAGCGGAGGGCTTCTGTAACCAGGAGAAATTATGCCCACCGCTGCCACAACCAGTCTGTTTTATTCCTAATTTAATTTGCTAACAATAAGCATCAACATCTCAGAAATATGTGGAATAAGTAGGATCCAGTGCTGTTATATTTTGGTAAAAATTAAAGAAAATACCAGTCAACAGTTATTTGGTACCTTGTATTTGTGCCTAGTTTCTTGGGTGGGAATGAGAGAACTTGAAGAAAGAGAGCTTTTCCTTAAGATCTTTCCATGAAGCTGAGGAGATAAATATGCAATTTTATATGTAGAATTTGTTAAGCCCAATAATAGATAATTGGAGGCCAACTAACCCATTTACTTTTTACTTCTGTTTACCCCCAGGTCTAACTCAGCGTTTCCTCTCAGCTCTTCTCACATTCCCCAGTTTTTCTTTCTCCTTATGAGTTCAGTTCTTAGTATCTGAGAGTGATTAATAGCCAAGAATCAAGGCAGAGATTATTTTTTTTTTTTTAGTATAGTACTTAATAATTATAAGATTGTTATTTTTATACCTATTTATTTAGCACATGTTGCTTAATGAGTATTCTAAGGCTCCAGGGGTGGGGAACCTTTTTCTGCCAAGGGCCATTTGGATATTTGTAACATCATTCCCGGGCCATACAAAATTATCAACTTAAAAATTAGCTATGAAAACTCCTAGATTTAGTGAATTTCGAGTCCCATCTGCAGTTGCCTTGGCAGAGCCAGATCAAGGGGTTTTGAGAGCTGTATACGGCCCGAGGTCTGGGCATTCCCCACCCCTGCGAGTCTAAGCTCTTCGACCAGAATTGTATTTAATTCTCACAGTAACCTTTGATAACTATTCACATTTTATGCCTGAAATTAAGAGGACTCGAGTCTAAGTTACTCAGGAGTCACGCAGCCAGAAAGACAGCAGTCCCTGTACAAAGATAGGCCTGGTGCCAGATTTGAAACTCCTTTTATTATGACCCTGCCTCCCCTGTCGCTGAGCCAAGGGGTGTCCCTTCAGCTTCACCTGCCAGTCAGAGCCCCTCCCAAGAAAGGACTCGTGAGATGCTGGAGAGGCCAAGAGCAGAGTCGGTCATTTGCCCTACCCCCTCTCCCCTGCAGGAATCCCACAGTGACCAGAGCGGGTTCCCCATAGGTGAGCAGTCAGTAAGGAAAATCCCCAGGGAGCTTGGGACGAAAGCTGTCACATCCTCTAGGGGGTTCCCTTTGTCCGTGTCTGCACAGGGACCAAACAGACACCGCTCAGTGCCCGGGGTGGGGTCTCTAGTGATTGCTTATGTTACAAACATAAGGTCAAAGGTCAGGCATCATTAATGCTATCTTATTTTTTAGACAATCGGGAGAAGATAGCAAGATGCTAGTGTGTGATACGTGTGACAAAGGGTATCATACCTTTTGTCTTCAACCAGTTATGAAATCAGTACCAACCAATGGCTGGAAATGCAAAGTAAGTTGTTTATTTTTTTAAGAAAAATATCAGCATCTGTATATGTTTTTTTTTTAAGTTATATAGAGCATACCGGATACCTCTGCAAACCTATGCATTGCCATCAACTTTAAACAGCCCTATTGACGCATAAGTGATATACGATAAACTGTACATATTTAAAGTATATAATTTAATGTGACACATGTCTACCCTCGTGAAACACCCTCACCTTCAAGATAATGAACATCTCATCTCCCCTAAAAGTTTCCTGGTGCCCCTGAGAGCCCCTCCTTTTCACCGGTCACCACCCCTTGTCTTCCAGGCAGTCTGATTAGTTTGCATTTTCCAGAATTTTCTGTAAAGGACATTTATATAAGATATATTCTTTTTTCTCTCTTTTTGGTTCTGGCTTTTAAACTATAATTATTTTGAGATTCACCCACATATAGGGTGTCCCTCCAAAAAATGTATACACACTTCTAATGGCTGATAGCTCACATTTTAAAAATGAACTGTACTTTAGTAAACACTGCCTTTATAATTATTCAAAGTGCGTGTATACATGTTTTGGGGACACCTTGTAGTTGCTGAGCAGTGGAGACGCCACAATTTGTTTATTGAATCACTTGTTGGTGAGCCCTGGGGTTGTTTACAACTTTAGGCTGTTATAAAATGCTGCTGAACCTGTTAACTAACGCTGCAGTGCTTCATGGCTCAGAAAGTGTTTTTTAATGATTTATCTTTAATCTCCCCAGAAATCGCTGAAATAGGTAGTCTCCCCAGATGAAGATACGGAAACAGAGACATATTTTTAAAACTCATTAATTTAAAATCCAGAGATAAAATACTTTAAAATTTGATAAGCTTCTAGGTGGTTTTATAGTGCTTTTTATATGTACACATATTTATGTATGTATGTAGCGCTTGCATTAAATATTTGGGATCATATTATATATGCATATGTATGTGTATGTTGTGCCTCCCCCGTGGTAGTTTTAGTAAGTGATTGACTTAGGTATTTGTTTTTTAGACGTCGTTTTAAGTTTTCTCTTGGGTTTGAAGAGTTAGACAAGATCTAGCCCTAGCTACTTTAGTTCAGTGGTTAGAGCGTCAGCCCCACAGACTGAAGGGTTGTGGGTTCAGTTATGGTCCAGGGTACACACCTGGGCTGCAGGCCGGATTCCTGGCCACCGGGGCCGCCGGCCGCCTGCCACGTGCGGGAGGCAGCCAGTGGATGTCTCTCTCTCACATCCAGGTGTCTCTCCGTCTCTCCCCCTCCCTTCCACTCTCCCTGAAAATCAGTGGAAAACATGTCCTTGGGTGAGGGTCAACAGCAACAACAACAGAACTATGGACATCTCTCCATTGTTTTTTTAATTGCTTAAGACGGGTGGGGAACCTTTTCTCTGCCAAGGGCCACTTGAACATATTTATAGCATCATTCTCGGGCCGTACAAAATTATCAACTGAAAAACTAGCCTGCTATACTTGGTCATACATTTCATTAACTCACCCCTAAGGGGATGGCTGGAGCTGCTTCTCTTTGGGGAGGTCTTGGCAGGGCCAGGCCAAGTGATTTCCAGGGCCGTTCACAGCCTGTGGGCCGGACGTTCCCCACCCCAGCTGAGGATCTCAGTCTGCCTGACACTGCGCAGTGCGTATTCTCACCCATCCTTCGAGCCACATTCAGTCAAGTCATTCCAGTTAACACGGCCAGTCTTTCTGCAGTTGTTTTTAATTTTCTGGATATTCTTGGTCAGTGATTCTCTGTTCGCCCATCTATTTGGGTTTTTGGGTCTCTGTGGCCCTGAGGTGTTCCATGCTGGTCTCTGAGCTTCCTGAGCTTCCGTCTCTGAATCTCTCAACCCTGTAGGTTGGCTGACAACCGAACCTATGGGGAGAGTTCCTATAGCGCCAGGTAGACAAGTCTTAGAATTATTTGTGCATGGAAGCACAAAACGTTTAAGTTCTTGAAGCAGAAGGTAAGAGTGACTCCTTTACTGTTATTTTTTAAGTTAAACTTATTGGGGCGACACTGGTTAATAGGATCATAGAGGCTTCAGGTGATATGAGACCTGTGCATTGCACTGCGTGCCCGCCGTTAATTCTCACCTGACTGAAGGAAACTTTTTTTTTCCTGTTTAGGAGACAGTTACAAAAATACTGTGACCTTTCCTTGGATGTTCTCTAGGCTGAATCACACGCTTCCTTTGAAATCCGTGTAGGTTAAGTGATAAATACGAGATCAGGAGCCGGGAAGGGCCTAGTGGTCAAGTAAATTGCCCCGAGCTTCGGATCTGTGACAGGACAGGAACTGGACCTCAGGCCTCCCGCCTGCAGCGGACTGTTCCGTCCCGCACGCTAGCCGCCCCGGGCGGTCATCCTGTGCCCGCTGGGCCGGGCCTGGCTCCCAGAGTCACTGAGAGAGATTTTCGGGTCTGGTTTTCATGTTGTGCTGGGACGTAGACTGTAACAACCCGAAGACTCCGGGACCACGCTGTCTGCGCTCCCACCACGTCGAGGGTTTTTAAAGTTACCTTAAATTTTATAGAACAGACACGAGGCTAGGCATCCACTTCTTTTACCTATAGGAATGACACTGACTTTTAAAATAAAACCGAGTAGAATTTATAAAGTAAGTTCAGTGGTGCTTCAGTTTTCGAATGTGATCCGTTCCGGGAGACGGTTCGAGCTCTGAAACGCTGGAAAACCGAGGGATCCGCAGCCCACAGCTGGGCCTCAGGGCCTTGCCCTGAGCGGGAGCCGCGGGGCGTGTTCGACTCCCGAGGCGAGTTCCAGAACCGAAGCATTTCCTTCCTGGGTTTAGGGCGTTGGTAACCCGAAATGTTCCTCCACGGAGACGTTGGAAAACCGAGGTACCACTGCATTCAGTCAAACAAATAGGTTTTTGCCTTGAAACTAAGTGGCAAGTCTGGGCCGCGCAGACAGATACTGTGTCAGGCCTTCCCTCGGCTTCCTAGCGTCGCTCCCGAGAGCGCCGTTGCGGGGGCGCTGGTGTCTGGCGGGGGTCGCGGGGTGCCCGTGTTTCCCTCGTGTCCTGGTTGCGCGTCGCTGACCCCAGGACTCCGGCGTGAGACGCCACCGGGCCGGGGCGCCGGGAGGCTGCCCCCGTGGTGCAGAGGCGCGGCCCCCGCCCATTGCGAGCTGCGGGCAGCTGTCCTGGGGTGACCCCCGCCACGTGCTGCGAGGGGGCCGGGAGCCCGGCTGCGCCGCGTCTCCTTTTCCCCGCGACTCTGCAAACCCGCACCTTCCTCCTGTCTCCGACCGCGCCTGGGACTGATAGCGACACACAGATGCTGCCTGCGTGCGGGTGGTAAAATCTGCTTTGCGGTTCCTCGCAGGCCGGTTGAAGTCACACCAGTGGCTTTCGCTTAGCATTTCCCTGAGACACTTCCAGGATCTCGGGACGCCCGGAGCCCTCCTGGGGAACGTCTGTAGTCTCCCTGCGGCCTCCCATTCTCGTCCATCCCATTGGCACAGAGACGCGCCCCAGGGACCCCTGTCCTGGCGCTTCTGTTTGGGGTGGCGGGGTGGGAGGTGGCCCCTGGAGGCGAGGCACCGGGCGCTTCCAACTGGAGCTCCGGGGCTGCGGGGCTCGGGCGGAGAGGGG